GACCATATAGGCACCAAGAGCCTCTGTCTAAACTCTTCACAAAAGACTGTGTAAGTACTTCACAAGAAAGCATATGTAGCTTTACTAGTATCAGATAATCTTTAAAACTAAAGCACTTTATTTATTTATTTATATTTAACTTTCATTTTCAGTTCAGGGGTACACGTAAAGGTTTGTTACATAGGTAAACTCGCATCACGAAGGTTTGTTATATAGATTTTTTCATCACCCAGATATTAAGCCTAGTACCCAATAGTTATCTTTTCTGCTCATCTCCCTTCTCCCACCCTCCACTCTCAAGTAAACCCCAGTGTCTTTTGTCCCCTTTGTGTTCATGAGCTCTCATCCCACTTACAAATGAGAACATGCAGTATTTGGTTTTCCATTCCTGTATTAGCTCTCTAAGTATAATGGCCTCCAGTTCCATCCATGTTCCTGCAAAAGACATAACCTTGTCCCTTGTTATGGCTGCATAGTATTCCATGGTGTATATGTACCACATTTTCTTTATCTAATTTGTCATTGATAGGCATTTAGGCTGATTCCATGTCTTTGCTATTGTGAATAATGAGGCAATGATCATTCACGTGCATGTATCTTTATGATAGAATGATTTATATTTCTCTGGGTATCTACCCAGTAATGGGATTGCTGTGTTGAATGGTAGTTCTGCTTTTAGCTCTCTGAAGAATTGCCATACTGTTTTCCACAATGGTTGAACTAATTTACACTCCCACCAACAGTGTATAAGTGTCAGCTTTTCTCCGCAACCTCACCAGCATCTGTTGCTTTTTGACTTTTAAGTAATAGCCATTCTGACTGGTGTGAAATGGTATCTCACTATGGTTTTGATTTGCATAAAACAAAATGCATTTTCAGACATTAAAAGACAGTCTCCATTTACCAGGTTAAAAGTATAAATTTATACACAATAAATAAATAAGTTTCCAAATATAAAAACTGATTTGACAGAACTACCATGAGACATAGAGAAATCCATAATCACAGTGGGAGAAATTAACATACGTCTCTTAGTAATATAGAATAAACAGAAAAACCTCAATGAAAAAATAACTGAACAGAACAATAAACACATTTAATAAATGTATACTAAAGACATGTTGACTAAACACTCACAAACTTACGAACAAAATTCTTCAGCTTACTCTAATTAAAAATAAATCAATGATATTGAAAATTATCATACTTACTACTTAGTGTTTCCATTTTGTTAGCTCCAAATATCTTAGCTTGAGATTTTCTTTTTGAAAATGCAACTTTATCCTCAGGTAAAAAATTTTCATCTAACACATCTTCCACTTTCTGAGCTACAAAAAAGATGCTTTTAATCAATTAAATAGACAAACGAATTTATCAAAAAGCCTCTGTAATTCAAAATACATATCAATTATCCGGCAATATGTCCTCTCATATTTTGAAATAATATACTCAAATACCACATTGTTGAGACAGTGAATTATAGACTGAGTATGTGAAGCGTAAAAATATAGAACTTTTCAAGAAAATTATTTTATAAGGTATTCATATTTTATAATTAAGTAAAATTTTTTAACAGATGTGGGTAATAAAAATGATAAAAGCAAATTAACAATAAACTTTAAAAAGAGAGCCAAAAATACATCAGGCAAGAAATACAGAAAACATAAGTGATGGTATATTAACTCACAAAATATCGGTATTTACATTAAATGTAAATGTGTTAAATGTTATATTTGCAATTGAAAGATTGCCACATTGGATTTTAAAAATGACTATAATACATTTAACACATATAATACAGCTAAGCCATAATAATACAAAAGGGTGAAAGTATAATGATGAAAAACTGTGTTCCGCAAATACTTACATTAAAAAGATGCTATGTTAATATCTGACAGATTAATGGCAACAAAAGTTACTGGAAAGTATCCATCATATTGTGGGTGAGGCTACATGAGAAATCTCTGTCTTCCTCTCTAATTTTCTGTGAACATGAGACTGCTCTAAAAATAAAGTCTATTTTTAAAAATGTCCATAATGAAGACAAGAGTTTCAGTGCTCTTAAGAAAATTTAACAATTTAAAACCTGTATGTATATAATAAAATATTTTTTAAAACATAGAACAAAAATTGGCAGAACTACAGAGACAGAGAAATAAATAATCGCAGTAGCAGAATTTGAAATACCTTTCTCATAAATGATAAACAGAACTTCAATGAAGAACACGTGAAAAATATAATTAATGACAATAGAGAATGTACATACACACATATATGTTTTCTATACACACATATATATGTATACATGACACATAAAATATTTATAATTGAACATATAAAGAGAGAAATTTAATTAAAATAATTATACAATATTCTTAATTATTATATTTACTTTGAAGTCTCACTTTTCTGCTACTACTAAGTTTTGTAATTTGACATGAGCTTTTTAAAATTAAAACTTTATTTAAGGTGAAAGATTTTCATCTGCTATTTCATCCATTTTCTCAGTTGAAAAAAGAAAGGCTTTAAAAAAAATGAAAAATCTTTACTGTGAAGCCTCTGGATTATTAATATATATAAAGGACCATTCAAAGTTTCCTATAAGTTTTAAAAGACTTCACACTAGTCAATACAATTTAAATAAATGTCACACAATAAAACCTCTAATGCATTTTCAAAATGAATGATGAAGGTAAATACAAAAATCACCAGAGTACTTTTTCTGAAAGTATGTGGAGGCACTCTTGTTACTTCATACATACACTTACAAAGTTGAAATTAGACTTTATTTTACTAAGTGTATTCACATTTTAAAAAGTTTTTATAACATACGTGACACACTGAATAATTGAACTGATTAAAAGTGGTAATTTCAAAATAAGGAAAGAAAGAAAATAGAAAGTAATCTGAATCAGTTAAAAAAAATTAAAAATCACCCCTGCCCAAAATATTTAAATCAGAATATATCAGTAAGCACAATAATTGTAAATGGACTACATGTTCTAGGAATAGACAAAGACAGACACATTGAAATGATAAACAATTTAACTGTAAGTTATTTGAGATATGACCGAAAAAAATGCAAACACTAATAACCAAAATCACTCTGTAGTTGTTATGTCAATGTTAGACAAAATAGACTTTTAGTCAAAAGACCTTACTAAAGGCTAAGATGATCTCTTTCATCAAAATAAAAGGTTGAGTTCATAAAGAAAACCTGAGTTTTTATTTGTATATACTAATAATGGAGACAGTATAAGGAAAATGAACAGAACTATAAGAAGAAATAGTTAAATCCACATAGTGGGATAATTTAGTATACATCTCTCAATAATTGATAACTAATCAAGATTCAAGGAAATCAAGAAATAAATTTTAATGACACAACAAAAAATGAGTTCAATGGATGTCTACAACATTGTAGCAGAGTACATACCCATGAATAAAATTCTGCTTAATTAAAATTTAATGTAATTCCAAACAATTTAATAATATTAATTATTTCCATATTTACTATAGAATCTCTTCTTTCTAGCAACTCCAGTTGCAGGCAAAAGCGTTTCATCTGATACCTTATCTTTTTCTGGGCTACAAGAAGAAAGGCTCTGAAAATCACTAGAGAACTTGATTTATGGTAGAACCTTTAGGTTCACAATATATGTTAATTACTCAACAACATTTTGTCTTACTTTTTAATGATATAAGCATATCGGTGTCTAGTTAAAATATAAACATATAAATACATTTTCCACTTGTGCATATAAAAGCCATCTTGTTAATTTTTATATACATGGGTATTAAATATATTTAATTTATAAACATTATTTTATTTACTACTATAAACATTATAAATACTTGCATATTTGAAATTTGTCCTTATTTTCTTATTGTATTCACACGTTAAGTAAAGCTTAAAATTTTTGGTACCAAATATTGCTAAGGAAAAGTGAATAATGAGAAAAAAATAGAGTAGAAAGAGAGTGAAAAAAAAATACCAAGTAGGAAAAACAGGAGAATCCAAGAAAAATGGTATAATTGAACCTAAAAAAGTCAATAATAAACCATATATGGTTATGAGAGATAACTTTAGAAATCAGACTAAAAATTGGCATATACAACATGGAATACTATACAGCCACAAAAAGAAACAAGATCATGTCCTTTGCAGGACATGAATGAAGCTGGAAGCTGTTATCCTCAGCAAACTAATGCAGGAACAGAAAACTAAATACCACATGTTCTCACTTATAAGTGGCAGCTGAACAATGAGAACATATGGACAAGTGGAAGTACACCACACACTGAGGCCGGGAGTTGGGGAAAGGAGGAGCGGACATCAGGAAGACCAGCTAATGGGTGCTGGGCTTAATAACTGGATAATGTGTTGATCTGTGCAGCAAACTACCATGGCACACATTTACCTATGTAACAAACCTGCACATCCTGCACATGCACCCCGGAACTTAAAATAAAAGCTGATTTAAAAAAGAGTATACACAATTATAAGTTTCTTACAATAGACATAGCAAAATCATAAAGAAACAAAGAAGTTAAACTAATAGGATGGAAAAAATGTATCAGGCAAATACCAACCAGAAGAAAGTCTGTGAAGCCTTAATAACAGATAAAGTACTTATTAAGGAAAATAAAAATTATAAAAATGATGAAATGACTCCTTTCATAACAAAAAAGCTGTTCTGTCTTTGAAGGATATAAATTTAAAGTTTACAAGCACAGAAATAAAAATAGAGCATTACAAGATGTAAAGCCAAAGCTGACACTAATACAAGAAGAAATAGAGAAATCCACGAAGTGGGAGATTTGACACATGTAACTCAGTAATGGTAAAATAAACAAATAAGTCATCAAGAAAGATCTGGTAGTGTGATGGAACTAATTAGCAAAAGAAGCACATAGTTGAAGGCATATTTATAAACCAAAAACAAATTTCTCCTGAATTTAATAAAAATAATTTATAAGGTTTATACATAATTACTTACTTTTTATTGAAATTACTTTAGCTTGAAGTTTCTTGGTTTGAGATTGGCTTCTTGATAATAAAACTTTCTCCTCAGGCAATAGATGTTCAAGTGATATATCCTTTTTTCGGGTTTCAAAAGGAAATGCTAAATAGAAAAAATACATGTGCAATAGAACTTCTGGATATGCCAAGTAATCATCAGACTTTCCACCCATGAAAGTAAAATGAGAAAATCATGTGAATAGCTTTCATGAGCAGGTGTGGAGGCAGTGATGCTACTTAGTAATTAATGACCATCCAAATACCAACCAAAAGGTATCAATACAATACTTTTGTTCTCTAGTTATCATAGGGTATTCACACTTTAGAGCAAAGTTAAAAGTTGATCAAATATAGTCTGATGTACACATTGGTAATTCGAAGGAAAAGATCTGCTGAGTTCAATATAAAATAATTTAAAGTTATCTATAATTATTATACTTACTTTTGCGCCGTTCTACTACAAAATGTATTTGTTTCTTATCTTGTATTTGGAGTTTTGACTCTGAATCTTGATGAACAAAAGTCACATTTTCATTTGGCACTACAAAATGAGCTAGATCAAGAGATGCATTTAGTCCACCATATGGAAAAATAAATCTATGAATATATAATGTACATTTTTTCTTATTTTTATAAAGTTGTAAGTAAATTACAATAATGCTAGATCTGACACAAAAATAGAATAATTTTAATGGCTGTTGTGGAAGCTAATCCATTATTTCATAAATATTCTGAAGCACCAAATAAAGTTTATATTGGTCTCCAGAATTCATGAGTTTATACTGTAATACATACTCAAAATACTTACATAATGCATGATAATTTATACTTTAGCTTAATATATAAATATAGACCAAACAATGAAAGTGCATATGTACAAGATCATTCATTATAGCATTACTTGTAATTGAAAAATATTCAAAATCATTGAGATTTTCACACATACGAGATTGGTCAAATGAACAGATATATATACCACAAACAATGGTATAATATTAATTACAGTATATAATGATGGGGAGATGGGACTGAAAGTTTTCAGAGAATCCAGGAGGTAATTTGTACCCAATGAGTGCTGTTAGTTCTAAACAGCTACCAGGCAATAATAGACCACCTATGTCCCAGCAAAGTATTGAGACTCATGGTTTAATTATAAGGGATTTTTTTTTTAATGCAGAACTAGGCCAGGCACAGTGGCTCACGCCTATAATCCCAGCACTTTGGAAGGCTGAGGCAGGCGGATCACGAGGTCAGGAGCTTGAGACCAGCCTGACCAACGTGGTGAAACCCCATTTATACTAAAAATACAAAAATTAGCCAGGCATGGTGGTGAGCACCTGTAATCCTAGCTACACAAGAGGCTGAGGCAAGAGAATTGCTTGAACTAGGGAGGTGGAGGTTGCAGTGAGCTGAGATAGTGCTACCGTACTCCAGCCTGGGAGACAAAGTGAGATTCCCTCTCAAAACAAACCCAAAAAACAAAAAGAAACGTAGAACCTTCTGAGGTCACTTTACCTACCTACTGAAGGCAACTTAGAGCCTTATGTACTCTTAAACTTTGTTAGAAAAATTGGTACCTTGTGGGGCGAGTCACTACAGAACCCTCCTTCGGAATGTAATGACAGAGAAGCTTTACTCAAGGAGGAGAAAGAAGGGGGATGTATGAGATGCCGACCTGAGACCGCCTCATTCCTCAGCTTGCTAATTGCTTGACCTTTGATAGCTTTGGCTTACCCATGATGAACCTACCACTAAAATTATGTTTGGACCATCCTTGCAGAGGTTATAGTAGCCCTGTGAATCACAACGCTGGTAGTCCCTTAGTTCTACAATGAAGAGTAAGAATAGTCGAGGAGATAGTTGACCAGACTCAGATTTCTAGGTTCTTTCGTGCCACTCTTGCCTATTTTCCAATTCAATCAAACTCATAAGGTCAGGTCATATGTTCTGTGACAAAATCCAGAACTTAACTGAAAACTTTTCAGGCACGGGAAAAGCAGCTGCTCCTGAGGTAGAAAAAACTGACCAGCAGGAAAGTGATGTATTAGGTTGGTGCAAAAGCAATCTAATGGCAAAAACTGCAATTACTTTTCCACAACCGAATAAAATGGCAATCAAGCACCCTCTCCTGGATGATGCCTCTAGAGACAGTCTCTAGGTCTGGCTACAATGAAGTTGATGGGCCCTACTGGGGTCAGCACATTGAGGATCCTATGATTAATAAAATGTTACTCCCGCCACCCCTCCCTGGTGAATTTGGAGATGAATTGATGAACCCCTCTTAATTTTTACTGAGAACTCTCACCCTTCAACAATGAATAAGACCAGAGGTTAAGCTAAGTCCTCAAATCCCCAGTGGGGACCAGGGTCAGAGTTAAATGGGAAGGTGGGGATAATTATATTTCTTGGGCCTTTTGGACACTGGTACATAAGTGACTGTGAACATATACCCCAGCATCAGAATGAAGGGGAAACTGATAATTCTATTTTGAAGTCTGAAGTCACCACCAATGGGAACCTTACCTAGACCCAACTATGGTGGGCCTCTTTGGCCAATTACAAACCCTACTGTTATAGTGCACATTATTCAATGTATTATCTTTAAATGTATCATTAAGGGAACACCTGCTCACCTTTGCCCACAAGCACTGAAGAAAATTGCTCAATTAGGGCCATTTTAGTGGGGCATGTGAAAGGCCATGAACCTATCTGACTACCTTGTGCTGTTGTTTCTCAAAAACAATACTGATTACTTAGGGTAAAAAGGAAATAAATGCCTTCATCATTGTACTTAAGCATGGCAAAGTTTTCTGTGAGACTAATCCTTCATTAAACAGCTCCATCTGGCCTGTGCACATACCTCAGATGCATACAGCCTCACTGGCTGCTCAATGCCATAATGCAGCCCTGGGTGCTGGCAGTACCTGTCTTTGTGACCGTCATAGAGGCTATTGCCCAAAAGAAAAGAACTTAGTATACAAAAATCGATATACAAAATCCCCTTTTCGGCATTCCTCTTCACACCAATGATAAGGATCAGTTTAGTCTTATGTGGAATAGGATTGCAATATACCACTAATGTCCTTCAACAAGACTACCTAAATTCCCCAGCTACCTGTCATTCATGGATACGGCATATCCTGGAAAAATTCTTGCTCTTGGAGGGAACACTAGCATTCTACTATATTGAAGATATTTTCCTGGTGGATCCAAACACAGGCATGAACCAATAAAAACTAGCTTGGCCATTAGTACATACAAGGTACAAAGACCTAGCACTCAAGTGAAATTCCTGTGTTATAATTTGGGAAGGGGCACATCACATTCCAGAGGAGATGATGCCTATCTTTTGGTCCTCTCAATCCCTTAAAATGAAAAGGAAGCCCAGTCATTGTTGGCTATGGACACTTTAACATTCCCTACCACACAAGAAACTTGATGGCACCCATCTATGAGGTCACCAAGAGACCTTACCTTTGTGTGGCACTCAACCAACAAAATTCCCTATGGCTAACCAACAAGCTTTCTGGACTATCCTTCTTCTTGGCTCCTGTAATTCCCACTTGCTGTTTGAGTTACAGATCTCAACAACCTCTCAATTTGTTGACTGAACCCTGGGGAAGAACATCACTACACATGATAAGTGATCATTGGGTATAATCTCCTGGAAACTGTAATCTCCCAGAGTCAGCTGAAAGGTATACTCTTTGAAATACTGTAGGCCAATTATTGGGCCTTTTGAGTGCATGCTTAATGGCTGTGAAATAATCTTATGACCAGAAATTCCAATGTGAAGTTAACACTTTCATTTTTGTTCTCTACTTATCTTAAGGAGTTCATAATTCAGGGCAAAGTCTACTATTTCCATAAAATATATGCTAAAATACACATTCAAGAATCAAAGAAAAATATATTCTGATAAGTTTCATTTAAAAATAATTTAAAGTTATCTATAATGACTACACTTACTATTACGCCTTTCCTTTCCAGGAGTTATTTTCTTCTTTTCTTGCATTTGGAGTTTTGACACTGACTCCTGATGAACCAACATAGGATTTTTATCTGGAGCTACAAAATGAGTCGCATGAAGAGATGTATTTAGTCCACAAATGAAAAAAAAAAATCTACTGTGAATTCTCTATTTTTCTCATTTTTATAAAATTATAAGTAAATTACCATAATAGAAATCTGACATAAAAATGATAAAAATGGTTTTAATGGGTGTTACAAAAGCTGTCTCATTATACCATAAATATTTTAAGGCATCAAATATATTTCCTATTGGTCTTCAGAATTCATGGGTTATTTACATAGGTTAATACATAATAATAGACCACACAATAAAAATTCAAATGCACATTATTCATTACCATATTATTTGTAATTGCAAAATATTCAACACATATAAATATTCAAGTATAGGAGATTGGCTCAATAAACAAAGATATATGCTATAAATTATGATATAAATACATATCACTATACATAATACTATACATATTACATAAAAATAATAAAGGTTTCCATAAATTAACATGGAGGAATTTCTTAGAAGATAATGTTAAGTGAAAAAAAATCTTAAAAACAGGATATCTAGTATGGTAACTTTTGGGTCAGAAATAACTAATCAGAAAAAAATAGAAATAGAGAAAACCTTTTCAAAATGAGACACAGGTAAAATAAGCAAGAAAACACTGTAGTTGGTTATCTACAAGACAAAAGGGTAGGAACAAGGAAGGGAATAAAAGAGAAGGACTGTGGCAGAAATTATATTCTTCTAAAAATATCTTTTGCATAATATTTACTTTCGGAAGTAGCTTAATGTTCTACATATTGGATATGGTTTGGATGTGTGTCCCTCCAAATCTCTTGTTGAAATGTGATCCCTAAGGTTGGAGGTGTTGCCTGGTGGGAGGTGTTTGGGTCATGGGGGCAGATCCTTCACAAATGGTTCGGTGCCCTCTCTATGGTAATGAGTTCATGTAAGATCTGTTTGTTGGAAAAAATTTTCGGATGTCCCCCGTATCTCTCTTGCTTCTTCTCTTGCCATGTGACACGCTGGCTCCCCTTCCCTTCTGCCATAACTAAAAGCTTCCTGAGGCCTCAGAAGCTGAACAGATGATGTTGGTGCCAGGCTTGTACAGCCTGAAAAACCATGAGCCAAATAAACCTCTTTTTTTTATAAATTACCCAGGCTCCGGTATTCCTTCACAGCAATGCAAAATGCATGAATGCAATATTTTTAAAATAAAATTAATTCAATGAGGATAAGAAGTGGGAACTAAAACTGAAAGGAAACTTAATTAAACGAACCTACTATATGGAAAAAAAAGTACTAATCCATGTAACTAATAAATACAGTATTTGAAACATAGCCTTAGTCTTGGGCAAGAGTGTTGGGGGACAAACTGCAAACAAATCATGAAATCTTTTTAGGTTTGTTTTTGTAGTGGTATCTGCTAAGCAATTTTGCAAAAAGTTTCAAAGTATTATAGGATAGAGCAAATGCATAAATTGGTTGGTGCTTTGAGAGTCAGGATTCACATACACATGGTATGGTAGATGAGACTGTTAATGAGACTCAGTTTTTTAGGTTCATTCATTTTACTCCTACTGGTTATTTAACACAATTAAACCTCCTCATAAGGCCATGCTGATCACTCTGTGACACAATTCAGATATTCACTGATGATAAATCAACAAAATAGAAAAAGTAGCTACTGCACAGATAGCAACAACTTGCTGGCAGAAAGAGTGATGTAAAACTGGTAATCATGCACTCTCTCCAGGACCATCTGCACAAGCACTTTCACAACAAGATCTCTGGTTCTGGTTACTTAAGCGTGGGTTCTCAAAGGGAAGACTGATGGACTCTCCCACCAAGGAACTCATCGCAAGGTAGTGAGCCATGGGGCCCTACAGGGTGCTCTACTAGGGTCTACAAGGTAATGGATCCTGATTAATAAAAGAGCTATTCCTTCCGCTCCTCCCAGTGAATCTGGAGGTGAACTGGAGACTCCCATTCAACTATTAACCAGATGTCTCAGCTTTCAAAACTAAAGAAGACTAAGGATCAGGCCAAGGTCCATATGTCCCTATGAAGAACAATGGTCGTATAACAAGGTAAAAGTTCAATAGGGATATAGAGGAGAGCTGCATTTCTTGCACCTCTTGGCTTTGATGCACAACTAACTGTGATCTCCATAATTCCTAACACTATCATGGGAGGGTTACAGGTTGAATTGTGCCCTCTAAAAAAGATAAGTTGAAGTCCTAACCCTCACAGTATCTCAGAATGTGATCTTATTTGGAAATAGGAACTTTACAGAGATAAATGAAAATGAGGTCATTAAAATGGGCCCTAATTCCATATAAATGTTGTCATTGTAAAAACAGAAAATTGGAGCACCCATATACACTGGGAAAATGCCATGTGAAGCTGAAGGCAGAGATTGAAGTGATGCATATAGAAGTCAGGGAATGTCAAAAACAGCAACCCACAAGGAGCTCAGGTGGAGGCATGGAATTGATTTTTCCTCTGGTTCTCAGAAGGAACCAACCCTGTCAACACCTTGATCCCAGACTTCTATCCCACTGACTATAATTTTTTATTGTTAAAGCCACCCAATTTGTGGATACTTTCTAAGAGCAGCCCTACGACTGGGAAGTGGATCGCTGCTGTAACAAATACTTTAAATTGTGGAAATGACTTTGGAATTGGGTAATGGGTAGAGGCTGTAAGAGTTTTGAAGTGTGTGATAGAAAAAACTTAGATTACCTTGAAGTGATTGTTGGTAGAAATATGGATATTGAAGGTGTTTCTGGTGAAGGCTCAGAAAGAAAAGGGAAGAACTACAGAGAAAGCTTCTCTCATCTTAGATATACACATATATTGTCATGAACAGAATGTCAATAGAAATATGAATGTTAAAGGTGCTTCTAGTGAGGTCTCAGATGGAAATTAACATATTATTGGAAACTGGAGGAGAGGTGATCTTTGTTATAAAATGGCACAGAGCTTGTCTGAATTATGTCTGTTGGGTGGAAAGTAAAATTTGTAAGCAATGAACTTGGATATTTACCTGAGAAGATTCTAAGTAAAGTGTTTAAGGCACATCTTGGTTTATCTTTTCTGTTATAGTAAGAGGCAAAAGGGAAAGGGATAAATCAAAGAAGGAATTGTTAAGCAAAAAGAAAACAGAATATGAAAATTCACAAAATCTTCAGCCTATTAGTATTGAAAATATAAGAAAGCACACTGTAGGCAAGGTATGGTGGCTCATGCCTATAATCCCAGCACTTTGGGAGGCTGAGGCAGGTGGATCACAAGGTCAGGAGTTTGAGACCAGCCTGGCCAACACAGTGAAACCCCGTCTTTACTAAAAATACAAACATTAGCTAGGTGTGGTGGCAGGTGCCTGTATTCCCAGCTACTCAAGAGGCTGAGGCAGGAGAATCGCTTGAACCCAGGAGGCAGAGGTTGTAGTGAGCCGAGATTGTACCACTGCACTCTAGCCCAGGTGACAGAGCTAGACTCCATCTCAACAAAAAAAAAAAAAAAAAAAAAAAAAAAGCACATGTAGAAAGAACACCAAGGATATGACTGCACAACTATTTGCTAAATAGATATGTGAATTGTGGATCTAATCAACCATCTCAGCAAAAATCCTGACAACCTGAACTAAAGGGGATAGAGAAAAGATAAAATAGATTTTATTTTAGATTAAAATAAAATCAGATTGCTAAGATTCTATAGACAGGAAATGGGTCAATAGAACTATTCTGCTGCAATTGTGTTATCCATCAAGAAAAAGAAACAATGACCCCAAGGATGGTTCAAACGCCAGTGGGGCTTCCACTGTCACCAAGAGCCCAGAAGACACAGGCCAAAGGGCTGGGATGTTGCCTCTTCTGTTTGAAGAGGTGGGCCACCACCCAGATTGAAGGAGGCAGGGCCATACCCCACTAGGCCCAGAGGACAGGGCACTGAGCCAAGAGGACTACTTTCAAGTCTTAAAATCTAATGAAATTTACCCTGCCAGATTCTGAATTTGTTTGTAAATTGTGACCCCTTTTTTTCCTTCCAATTTTTCCCTTTAGCAATGGCAATGTCTGTCGTATGCCTGTCCATTGCATTTTGGAAGCAGACAATGTGATATCTGGTTTTATAGGTTCATAAATGAATAGGAATTTTACACAGGATGAATCATACCCCAAGTCTTTCCCATAACTATCTGAATGATCTAAATGATGAAATTTGGAGCTTTGAGTTGATGATTCTTAGAGAAGATTTTGGAATTACGTTGAATTTTTGGAGATGTTGTGATGGAGTGAATGCATTTTGCATATGGGAAGACGATGAATATTTGAATAGTGACCCCTATCTTTCGCACATAGTGCCTCAGAACCATGATTTTATTTGGAAATAGGGTCTTTACAAAGCTAATCAAGTAAAAATGAGATCATTATAGCGGGCTTTAGTCCAATATGAATAATATCCTTATAAAAACAGGATACATAGATAAGAGACAAGCACATGGAGAAAAAGTTGTGTGAGGATGAAAGCAGAGACCAGAGTGCAGCATGCCCAAGCCAAGGAACACCAAATATTGCTAATCAACTACCAGAAGCTAGAATAGAGGCATTTAACAGATTCTTACTGACTGTCCCTCAAAAGGGTCGGTATCACCAACCCTGCTGATACCTTATATTTACGTCTAGCCTCAAGAGCTCTGAGACAGTAAATTTTAATTGGTTAAGCTACCTAGTTTGTGGTAATTTGTTATGGAAGCACCAGGAATCTAATACAAAGAAGAAACAGGCATTGTTCTTTGGCTTGGGGTCTGAGGCCAACTTCACCATGCTTACCCAAACACAAGCATGCATGGGTTCCACTGGACCACTAAAACCTCCATTGTTAGGGCCCCCACTACTGAATGTATAACTGTATAGATATAGTCTTAGTATATTCCTGCTTGCATTCGTTCCCAAACCCTAAAGAAAATTGCTGTAGCTAGGGCCATTTTGTGGCACATGTGGGAACCATGAATTTACCTAATAGTACCTAG